AAAAAAAAAAAAAATTCCAACGATACTTGATAAACTTCTTCAACCTTTTTGCCTCATAATTCATATCATCTCCAAGATGCAAACAATACGAAATTTTATCACCGTCTCTCTTTCTCGATTAAATTCCAAGGGGCAAAAAGGGTCGTAGAAATCAAGATTTCGAGCGATGTTTATTTGTCGTTAATCATCCCGGAAACCGATCACGCACGATTTCTCACGAAATTAATCGAACAAACCACCGCCCCCATCGTCGAATTAACGTAACTCGCTCGTTGTCCCGGCTCGTTCCCCCGTTCCGCGCGCGGCCAAAATTTTTACCCCTTTTTCGCGGGGAAACAATGGCACGTCCGGGGGGCAACGTGTGCAACGCTTGCTATGCGAGCAAATATACACCGATGGAATTCGAATTCGGACGGAAGCTTTATTTGCCGTGCCATCCTCCCTCCCAACTCCGGGCTAATTATTCGGATAATCGTGCTAATCCCTCGGCAAAGCTTCGCTTCTCCGCGCTCGTTTCGATCGCGAGAATCGATTACATCGTACACCTGCGAGCTTTCCACCACCGGGATGGTCACCGTGGATCCTCCCTCTCTCCCTCTCTGTTTCTCGTCCCTGTCCACGGGTAACAGCGACTCTCATTTGCATCTCCGCTCGTTTCCGGCATTATCGCTTTGTAGTCGGCCTTTTTCACGCTCCTCCCGCACCCCGGCCAGATTTAACCATTCCGCGAGGTAATTATGTTGCAACGGGGAAACCGAGGGAATTTGCATCGAGCGTATTTCTTTCCCTTGTGTCCACGCTCGCGCCCTCGATCCCTTTGCAACCCGGATCCACCAAGTCTCGCGGCTATTTCCGTTCCCCATCGCTAAATTTCCACCGAAGAACTGTCTGTCCGCTTGACAGAGCGCGCCGATTGCCATCCTTTCCCTCGTTTCATCTGATGCCCCTTGTTCCTTCCATCGATCGGATCGATTAAATCGTGCTTTTTTCCTCTTTCTTCTCTGCCTTGCCTCGTGGAATATTTTTCTGAATAATGGCGGAGGAAGAGGTGGTTACACAAGGTTATTCTCTCGTTGCGGTTATGTATTTTCGAGATAATTTTGTTGAACGTTTGTTAGCAAGTATTTGGAGAACTTTGAAAATCCGAGTTGTATAGAAGTAAAAAAGTTTCTTTGGAAGTAGAATGTAGAAAAATCGGTTTCTATTTGCGAGGTATATTTCAGCTTGTAACACGAATATTATAATTATCTTCGCTGTGATAGTAGTCGTCTGGCAAAAGGGATTTCGGTCTCAAAATCAAGAGAATGGTGTGTTTAGACAACGAGATATCGTTTTGGTAATTTATCGATGGAAGAATCACCCTGTTTGCGAACTCTGTGGTCAATAAATATTACGAATAGACAATACCGTCTCCGTTTTTCCTCGCGTATACCCTATCCTTATACAAGAGAATAGATTTCAACAAATTTTTCTCTTCATCCATAAATCAAGAAAATGGATTGTTTAACTTAATGATATTGCCTTTGTAATTTATCGATAAGGGAATCCTTGTGTAACTACTTCTCTCCATTCCTCCATAAAGGAGAGAAGAGAAAGTGGGACATGGTGTGACCCACAATCGGACTCTTCACGGGTTGCTTCTTTGCTTCCTTTTTCTTCCTTTTTCTTTTCTCCCTCTCTTCGACCAAAGTTTTCTTTCCCCCAAGGTCTTATCGGTCTGTTCTGAAAACCTCTTACGGGGCGAAGTTTATTGTATTGACACAGTTAGCTGATGAATTTGTTTGGTTAGAAGTAAATGGGAGTTACGTTGTTGATTATTCGATACGAGGGAAGAGGGGAAGGGGAGAGGCTAATGATCTGTGAGTGATCGTTCAAAGGATTGTAATAGTGACATCGTCGTAATTTTAATTTTCAGATTTTTCTAGGCTTGTTATTCCATTTATTTCCATTATTTCTCTGCGCGTAGACAACGTTTTAGCAGTGATAGAGGAATTTATGTTCGTAGGTCTTCGCTTTTGCGAAATACTCGTTCTGTTTTCTTCGTGAGGTTGCATAATCGTGTCATGTTATACTTCCGACGTGCTACGCGTGGAGAGATAAAATGAACAAACAGCAAACGCATATTCAAGGAGAATCAAACTCCTTGATGAGAAGCAGCGATCTAACCGCCTCTTTTATTACAATTGTGTCAATTTTTCGAGTCTCCCGTACACATTATTGTTGTGAAACGTAATTTATTTTCAAATTTATTAACACGAAATTGTTCGATAAAGTTCTAGAAATTTGTTAATTAATTTAAAGAAATATTTTGGAAAAACGAAAATATCGAATCTAGAAAAATCTGAAAATTAAAATTATGACGATGTCATTATTACAGTCCTTTGAACGATCACTCATAGATCATTAGTCTCTTCTCTCCCCCTCCTCCCTTGTATCGAATAATCAACAACGTAACTCCCACTTACTTCTAATCAAATTCATCAGGTAACTATATCAATACAATTTTTAAATATAACGAAAATTAAATCGTACAACGAAACTTGTAAACAAGAATAATATAATTATAATATCTTATAATTTAAAAAAAAAAAAGTTTAATTTTCTTACATTTGATAGAACTCTTTTATTAAAAAGTTGATCAAAGTATCCGGATAGGTATTCACGAACAGTAATACAAATCCGTGAGACACGGGCGGAATACAAAGGAGAAAATAACATAACCTCGCGCGTAACGTCGGGATTGCACAATCGATCGATCGATTCATTCCGGTTGTTCGTCGGGATCGAGACGGAATCGGTATTCGGCTGTACTCATTTCACCGTCGTGGCGGAAGTATTAAAATTCATGAGCGTTTTTAATTCGATTAGTTCGTTCGTCTTTCAGAAACCGGTTGTACGATGCCGGCAACAGTAGGCCGATTAAAAATTCAACTCGATTATGCCTCGATGAAATCTAGTTTCCACGAATTGTTAACTTCTTCTCCCTCGAGCCAGCCTGCTCGTGGACAGAATAATTCGAGATAGCCGGAAAATTTCGCTCGATTCCTCGAGTCGTGGTTGGGGACTTCTGTTTTGACGAAGGAATTTCGTTCGATCCGCGACAGAACGAAACCGCGGTAAATTGTTTGTTCGAAAATCCACGCACGATATACGAGAAACCACCGACAACTCGCATGCGTGTCGAGTCGATCTTCGAAGTTGGAATTTATTTTTCCATCGGCTCAAATTCCCGGAAGCTCGTTTCCTCGTTTCTAGCTACCTGTTTGCTCGCTGAAATTCCACGCGCGACTTGAGATTTTGCTGCTCGTTTTACGCCATCGCGTCGTCGATTTACGTAACACGAGCCTTGAAAGATAGATCGAAGAGTAAGAATCGATTTCTTCTTGTTAGAGAGGTGTCCATCCTGGTCTGTGCGGTTTCCCCGCGTAAACCGCTTCGAGTTGTACGCGGATGCGAGCTCGAGATCGTCCGAAGCGAAGATAATATCGAAGTTTGATATCGATATCCCGGTAGTCGAGTAGAGTTTAATTTTCATTTTTAGAAATCGATCATTTTGAATTTTTGATCTAGACGACGACATTCAATCTTTTGCCCCCAATAATCCATCAACTCGATGATCAATTATTATATGCCATAAGTATATTTTGTGTAGCACTTAGGCAAGATTCTCAATTGCGAATTCTCCTCCATTCGAACTGATTTAATTTCAAAAATTTGCAAAATTCAATTCACAAAACGATAATATCTACGCTACAACGTGTGTGGAATTCGTATCGATTCGACAAAATTTTTAAATTTTTATCATTTCGCATATTATTATTTGTCAATGATTGTATCTCGTTCACGGTTTAAGATTCACGAGACGTAATGATTCAACGCTTATCGCTTTCGGTGCGAATTCGGTACGGCGACGAAAGGAATTTCATGCGACAATAACGGTAATAAAGCGAGCTCTCCTCTTCTCTCCTCTCCTCTCCTCTTTTCTTATTTCACCGAGCATCGTAGGAAAACGTGGACGCGGCAATTATTGTTGACAGAGGCGGATTGTTACGTATCGATGGCCTTGCCGCAATATAGCCTCG